GATTTGAAAGCGAATCTAGAGAAAAAGACATTTATATCATTTATAGAAGCAGAGGCTTAGCTCTCTCCCCACACCCTACCGACAGACCAGCTCTTGCCTCACCAAAACCCAATGTGTTGTGTCAGGATCAGTGTACCCCTGGCAGCCAGACGCAAAGCAGTGTACCCCCAGCAGCTGGACATGGAGTGGGGGAGGGGGAGGTGCAGCTGGATGCGAAGCAGGGGTGGGGTGCACGGCCAAACGCAGAGTGGTGGCAGCCACCGCATGTGAGCTTCCCCTGCCCCCCACGTCTGGCCAGGCAGGCGGCACCTGCACAGCAGTACGGGATGGTGCCTGGCAGCACTCTGTCCCTGCCTGCCCATGTGTACTCCCTAGGGCCTTCTTGAGTACCCTTGGAGGTACATGTACCCCCGGCCGACAACACCTGTGTTACATCATCTCACTGACAATCTGTGTTTGCTGAAAAGCCCTTGCTACAGGAGATGATGAAGAGAGATACAGGCAGTGGCTAGGTCTCCTGGAAGAGTCTGGCCAGATCTTCCTTTCAGAGCTGAGCCCAGACCAATCCCATGTCAGGATCCAAAGAAAAGAGAAGGGAGTATTTTATGTCAGCAAGGGAACCACAAGAATAACAAAATAAATCAAGGAAGGAAACAGCTGTGCTTAAATATTCAGTCATGAAAAGAATCACAGTAATAGAAATCTAAATTCCTTACCACCAGGAGTGGTGCCACCCATACAATCATCCCAGGCTCCTGGTGCAGTGGTTTGGGGTGGGGGAGGAAAATCCAAGTAATTCTCCAACACATCATCCATAGTGCAGCTGTGGGGACACAGTGGGGTGTGTCCTCTTGCTCTTCAGGATGCATCACAGGACTTTAGATGCAGTGTACATTGGAACAAAGCAAACACATAAGTAGCGGCCTTAATAAGTGTCAGGAGGGACCAGGCTTCTGGGAAAATAGGAAGAATAGCGCAGAGAATTATGGGGTGGGAGAAACAATCCACAGACACCACAGAGTGCTGGGTGTGGGGATGCATTGCCCTGTGTCCCTCCAGTGTGAAAGCTAATGTGAAAGCACTGCACTGCAACACGCACACGGGCAGGAAGTGGAAGAAGGGAGGGGGCAATAATGTTTGCAGTGCGGGCTATAGCCCAGGCTCCCTAGCATAAGTGAATTCAGTTCACCCACTTCATCTATGGAAGATGAGGCCAGGCCCCCCACACAAGGCATGTCTGGGGAGCAAGGGAGCAATTCAAAGGAGCCACATCTCTTGAGAAAACGGATGGGGCAACCAGATAGGTGAAGTGGCTCAGGGTCGCTTAAGGTCCCGGTGACTTCCAGTGTCCGATGCAGAGGTCTCGGATGGGCTGGCATGTGTGAGCTCTGGACAGGGCGCAATCGCGTGTGTTGTGCGCGGATTTACTAGCGGGGGGAGTGGAGACAGGACTGCTTGTTTGACTGTCTCTGACCTGTTTCTCCCAGGCATCCCGTCCCTAGGCTACGGCTGTTCCCCGTGCCAGGCGGCCGCAGCCCGCGGGCAGGACGGCGAGGGGCTGCCCCGCCCCCGCCCCGCGGACCAAGAGCCTGGCAGGCACCCGCGCCCGGCATCAGCGCCAGAGAAAGGCACAGGCGAGGGGCGGGTGCCCCTGAGATTTCCTCGTCCTGGACTGAAGGGGGGACTCTGTTTCTCCTCGCTATTTTGCAAAGCAAACCTAGCTCCTCTGCTTTGATCTCCCCCAGGGGCCTAGCGGGGTTGGGGTGAACCGAACTGGTGCCCTGGACACGCTCACTCCCCGCCCCTCTCGTTTTCACTGGATTCCCTTTTTTTACAGCTCTTTCTTAAATGATTTGGCCAACCCGCTGGCGCTGCTCTCCTTCGCTTTACCGCATTGCAGAGCTCGCTAGGAATGAATTACCTTTGCAAGGAGCATTCAGAGAGCGGCGAGCCCATCCTGCCCCTCCAGACAGCGGGTGGGGGCCGCCGGCAGCCCAGAAATGCCATGACAAATGTGCAGAGGTGGGAGCTGTTATCTGCCGAGATTATCATTTATTCTTTTCCCGGATTCCTGTTTCATTTAGTGCTCTCCCATTTTGAAAATAGAAATGTGGGGGTTGCTGGTAACGATTTCCCGCTTCACTCCTGGACCAGCGAGCTATGAAGCTAATATCAGAAGGTGCCCGTGCATTTCAAACGCTTCTAACCTACTGAAGGTCAATCGAGGAAAGCATGGTGTAAAGGCAATTCCGTCCTTCTTTCCTTCTTTCCTCTTTCCAGATAATGAAGCTGTTTTGGCCCTTTATCCTGAATGTCTCCCTTTCTACTACAACTAGCAATGCAAAGGTTGTCCGTGTTTTGGAGAGTGCCGGTTTCACGAATCTCTCTGAATTCCGTGACAACTCCCGACCATTTCATGTTGTCACGGGGCATTTTTTCTCCCCTTGCAAGAACAAAAGAAGATATCTGCGCCAATTCCTGCTTCAATGTTATAGGTTGTACTCGGGCAAGATTCCCTGGAAAATTAACTCGGGTTCGAGGGCTAGGAGCCGGTTACACAGTAGTTTAAAGCATTAACATAATTAATTACTGTGCAAGGTGTTTAGTTTCCACAATGGGATGTCACCTGTTACAAATAATTGTTTTAGATGATTGCTACTTATATAAGGTGGCTACGCTAACTAGCCTGGTTATTCGTATTATTATTGATGTTCCTCCTAATACTATTTATAGCATGCAAAATAAATAGCCCAGGTATAAGGCACACGAAATGCACGTAGTCAATAGCTGATAGGAATTACATCTCTCCTCTCTCTCTGAACATTCATTTGAACGGTCATTTTAACGAAAGGTTAAGAAGAGAAGAAAATATTTTTAAACCTTTCTCCTGTGCCCAGAGATCTCGTCCTGATCAAGGTGTTTGCATTCAGGACTCAGGAGCAAGGCTCGCTGTGGGCTTCAGGAATCGCTTGTTAAGAAAAAAACTCCACCAGTACAGCTGTCCCTTTAAAGGCGCATTAGAGCCCCCGGAGCACAGGACCTTTCTCTGGGCTCCAGGTGAGGACGGGCTGGAGCGGGGAGTGCAGAGCTAGCACTGACTATCTTCTTCGAGGGGTCTCCCTCGGGCAATGAGAACCCAGAGCAATTAGTCGACTGGGCACGAATATATAAAGGGAGCACCTTTAGAGCTGAGAGGAAACGAGAGCTTCCCCCAGGTAGCTTTTTCGGGCATCATAATGAGAGTGGGGTCCTCATAGTCCAGCTGCAGTAGTCGTGTCACAAGCAGGAGCCGGGTCGTTCAAAGATGAGGTCGATCCTGCCATCGATCGTTTGGGTCCCTGCAACCCCACTGTGTCAGGGGCTAAAAATAATAATAATAAAATTAAGTTACATCAGAGAGTATTTGAGGGGCCCTGGGGCGTGGGGTGGGGGGTGGGGGGCTTTATTCTAAGGCACTGCTGTGTTGCTCAGCTGTGTGCAACCTAGACTGGGATGTCCCGGGAGCAAGGAGTCCCGGAGGTGTGAATCCTTTTCCAACAAGGGCTGTATCTTCACCCCTGCATGCTAGTCAAAGCTCCAGTGTAAAGACTGGGCACTAGCATTTCCGAAGTGATCCACCCGTTGCAAAGTGCCCTTTCAGCCCCACCTCGTACTGGCCCGGCTTTCCCCTGGTGAAGGGTGGGAGGCTGGCGTGGGATGGCCCTCCACAGCAGAGGAAAGGGGGGAAAAAGAGAAGAAAAGATATTGAAACCCTGTCCGCAAAGATCTCAGTCCTGACTCAGGACTCTGGATCAAGGCTTGCTATGGGCTTCAGGCAGAGTTTGTTCCGGATTAGCTGGAGGCTGCTGTGCTGGACTTTCTCCCTCTTCGTTGTCTCTTTCGTTCCTTCTCTTGCTCCTTGCAGAAGATCAGTAAAGGAGGCATCTTCCCTTCCGTCGCTCCTACCTGCCCCTGCCCCCTGCAGACTCCCGTTCACTCCGTCCCTGGAACAAACCAGGCCAGCCGCATTCATTATGGTTTCTCTTTATTGTTTGATATATTTATGTACCACGTTATATGTTAAAGATAGATTTTCTGATATACATTTTTCATCTGATTTACCACAAGTACACCACACAGACATTTGAAACAGCTCCACAGATCTGGTAGATTGCACAGAATGAGTTGTGTCTTGTTTTGTTTCTGTAGCCCGAACACTTTCAAATCCAACACACTTTTTTTTTTAATTTAGAAATTATGATTAGAAAACAAAACAAAAAAGAAAGCCCGAAAACTGAACTCCGAGTCTGTGGCTTCAGCTGGAGGCGAGCGGTCTAAGTGGAAGGGAAGCTCTTACCGGCTGTGCGTTGGGGTGGAAGAATGAAGCAGTCCTGCTCTAGGCTATCGCTACCGTGTAAACGGTAGGGGCGCTGGGGTCCTCGGTACCAGCCGTTGTTACCGCTTTGGCTTGCTGGGCTGTTGTACAACCTAACGCTTGTCTGCAGCCATGCCTCACATTGCATATAATAAGGGAACCTCACTATACCCCCCTCCCCACTACTTAATTATTTGCTTCTAATTTTAAGCACAATAACCCAAATCCATTGGATTGGCAGCTGTGTTTCAGCTCCTGAAACACTGAATGGCATAGTATTTGCAAAAATATTCAGAATCGTGATTGTTTCCAAATAGGGTATTTTACTATCATAAAAGATACATATATAGAGAGAGGGAGGACTATTGTTTTAGGGGGTAGAGGGCCTCAGATATTTTCCTTCAAAATCGCTAAATAAGAAAAAATATATTTAAATCTTAGCTTATTAAAAAGACTGTAGGGGAAATACTTTATTTTATTATTTTCTTAGCTTCTTTTTAGCCTCTTTTTAGTTTCTATGACATATAATTTGTTGGATGAATGTAACTAAAATAATGAATCTTTTCTTTAAAAGGATGCATAATTATTTGGCTATGTGGATGTTCAACATCATTCTCTTTTTAAAGCAACCAGCTCCGACCATTCTTTACTCGTCAGAACTGGTTCTAAAAGCCTCTATGAGACCTTCTAAAGAATGGATGAACCCAGACACGCTGCAGATACCACCTATAACGAAAATAGCGACATCAAAAAAGACATGGTGCCACAAAAGCTTCCTCCACAAGAGTTTGAGGTGGAAGAGACTTGGGAGCAGGAAACAGAGACCTGCACCTGTGAGGCTCCCAGTAAGACCCATCAGGAGGGCAAAGTGAGGGACATAGATAGCCATTAGCAAGGTGAAAACTACCAGACCACATCTGAGGGTGAGTCCCCAAGACTTGAGCCTCCCATCACCCCCATAACAGTTGGGAAAGAATGCCCTGTTTCCATCTTGGAAAAGGGATCTCTCCAGCACTTCCACAGCGGCAAAGAAGGGCAAGGGGTAGGAAAGCAAGGCTTTGGCCACCAAGAAAATGTTGACTACTGCCCTAATGGTGGATGGCAAGTTGTCTGTGATGACTTCTTTAGTCTCATCAGCCCAGGTCAGATAGGCTACCAAGGCAAAGAGTCCCTTGAGGATGCAAGCTGCTATGTGAGTCCAGTTCATCATGCAATGAAACTCCTTAGGATTCTGCATATTCCCCTCTAAGGAAGGCAGAAAAATTTGGGAGGTGTAGCTAAAGACGATTATGCCAATGGAGATGGGAAACTTCTTCACATCAATGTAAAATTTGACTTTGTCCCAAGCCCAGTCACGCGCTCTGGAGAGACAGTAGGCAATCACTAAAACGTTGATAACAAAGTGGGCCAAGGTGCAGAGCAAACTGAACTTCGAGACAGCCTTGAGGTTCTTCAAGAAAGCACAAGGCAGGAGCACTGCTGTGGCAATGATGGACCAAGATTTCTGGGAGACAGGCGAGTTTGGGAAGCTGTTGTACATCAGGTTTCCACTGACCACCACATAGAGAATGCAGGTCATGACCAGCTCAATGATCTGAGCCACGTTCACAATCCTCCCTCCAAGCTTGGGAAACCTGGGAGCGCAGCAAGCGTTGGCGATGTCCACGTAGGAGTCTCTCACCCTGACTATCTCCCCATCTTCGTTCTCCTCGTAAAGACAGCCAATAAGGATTTTCCCAGTGTAGCAGCAAACCACTGCAGCGAAAATAATTAAAAAGAGTCCTAGGTATCCACCATGAAGGATAGCATAGGGCAGGCCAAGAACAAACATCCCCTAGAAAGAGACAAAATGGATACTGTGTTGCTCATTTTAGCAAGAGGACTGCACGCCCCGCTCCCATGTCCCCACCCATACACCTTCCCGCAACCAGAATCAGGGTAACTCAATGCAGGTCAATCAGAGAAACCAGCAGTGAGACTCTGCTTCCTCCAGGGCATGGGAAAAATCAAAAGGGAAATTCCACAGTTTTTCGGCGTTGTGTCCATCTCTTTCTAACGTCTTCACACACACACACACACACGCACACACACACGCACGCACGCGCGCGCCTCAGCTGGAGCCACACTGCAATTTAAAGTAAAACCGCACTCGCGCAGACTTTTTAAAACTGTATTCAATGGAAAAAAGGAAGAAGAAGAAGATTTGTAGGAAAGAAAAGCCTCGTCTTTCCAGAACTGGGAAAGGAAGGGACCAGTTGGACCAGCTCCTTGGAAACCTTCACTCTTTTATCCCCAGATTCTTGTCACTAGCAGAGTTTGCCTCCAGCGATTTCATTTGCACAGCTACGTTTAACTCCTATCTCACTCGGGGGCTTGCATCTCGGTCCTGTCGGGGCAGAACCCGTGCAGCTCAGGGAAAGGGGCTGGGAATCGTTGCATCGCCCAATTAAAAACCCCATCAGGTTGCTTTGCTCCCTGCCAAGCTGGCCTGGGCGTCCGGGCTCTGCTCTGGGACCTGCCAGTGTCTGTGGCATTGGGAAATACAGGGAGGCACCTTTCAGCAGCCCCTCTGCCCTCCCCAGAGCCCAGGTTCCCCGATCTGGGACACAAGCCGCGCCTTACATAGCCGTCAGGGAGCTGTTGGGCTCTGCAGGAGGGAAAGCCTCGATGTCCTCCTCTGCCCGGGCAGACTGCGGGGTGGGGAGCGGGCGCAGCGCCTGTGTAGGTGCAATGTGCTTGATTTTCTAACCGCTGCCCTTGAGGGGAACATCTGGGGAGCACAGCTGCGGGATGCGGGCGCCTCCCGGGAACCAAGGACGGGGTGGGGCTGCAGGCAAAGCCATTCCGGTCCCGGCTCACAACCCGGCACAAAGGCTCCTCCTGGGTGTCCAGAAAGGGCCGGGAGGCTTGTTCCTTTACACTGAGGAGCCGCGTGAAGGCTCCCGTACATGTCACTCGTGCAGGGGAGCGATGGTGTAAGCCCCGATCGCTCTCGTTCCGAAGCCGGGAAGGAGCTTGGCCTTTGTCGGGCTGTGGAAAGGGCTCGGCGTTTTTCTGCGGTTGTCAAAGGCCTCCCAGCGCCGCTGCCCTGCCAGCCCCGGCCCAGGCCGGGAAAAGTGCAGCGCACTGAGCTCAGCCTGGAGGCTCTGTCTGCGGAGCGCTTCGCACCGTGAACAATCATCCCCGTGCCGATCTGGGGACGGGAATGCTTTTACACTGCTCAGGATCTACCCCGCGGTCAACAGGAGAGTGTGCAGCCGCCCACCCACAATGCCACAGCTCACACATCCGCGGCCGGGC